TTTGTTTTGTTACGCTTTTATCAAGTCAAGGTCAACCTTGACTTGAGATAGCTTTCATTTTACTTTCGATTTCACGACTTCTCAGCACGTGGCTCACGTGAATAAAGCTCTCTACTCAAGCTCTGTTCTTGTTCTGGTATTAGCCTGGGAAGGTCGGTTCTAGCTGTCAGCAAGGGATCTGGTACCGTTATTTGAGTGGTATTCTCTCTTTTGTTACGGGCAAACGTAACACAAGATTACATTTTTTGTTTCCCCACACCAACATCACCAACCGGTAGTACTAATCGAAAAAGCAGTAGGTGTCACCAGCCACAAGGATAACTTCTCAATTTCCGTGCCTATTCGCACTTTCACTAGCGCTTCATTGTGAGAGAGTGCAAATACACTTCAATTGATACCATGAAAACCAACTTACACCTTTGTTCGTGAGCATCCACATGAGGACTGCATCATCCTCGGTACAGAATTCAGAGAACGAAACCACACAAACGCCTTTCTTGTTTCTGTGGTTGGAAGAATGTAACGAAAATGTAAGCGAGTGGATATCATTTGAGCATGTAACGAACTCCCACTGTTATGTTTTGTCAGAATCAAATTGTGTCTACCGTTTTGGTTTAGCAATCTCGAAATACAAACAATGGAACACTTGTAACTAAACCTAGCCTATTACCTCGCCATGTATTGTTGAGGTTATGGTTTTCCAGAGCCTACATTAAAATTGACGACTGCACTTTAAGCTAAATCGTCTTTCTGGTGATTTCATTGTAGCAGATCGTGGGCTCCAAGAGGCGCGTTTTGGTGCTTGGGTCACTTAAACATCAGTAGGGTGTACAGCGTTGTCAAAACTCACATTACTTGAATGAAAGCTCGTATAGGCGATTCTGTGACTTGTGATCGAGAAGCTAGGAGGAGGTTGAGTGGACTAGAACGCGGAGGCCTAACTTTTGGTGTGCTGTGTGAACCGTTTTGGAAATCCAGTGGTATTTTCTACAAGTTTTCAAACACCTTCTATTAGACAAAATTAAATTAAGATAGACCTGATTAGCTCCCATTAAAAACCAATATCTATGGTCCCTGAAAATATCGAATAAATGTTGAACTCTAGTGTACACACGGACAAGGCTCGTAAAATTTGATCAGCACAGACCTGTTATCCGTCCACAAAGGATCTTTGATGTTGCGCGTGTGCTGCTTTGTTTCCATTATTAGGTTAGATTTTTGGGTTTTGGGACAAAATTAGAGCCATTATATAGCACTACTTATATTGTGTAAAACGAGTTGAGTTTTGTCATTTGAGCATTCTGCTACTCCATCACTAGCAGCTACACACCTTCGGATTACCGAGCAAATAAGTAGAGATATAACATCTGTGGAATCAAGCCTTACTGATTACCTATCTAATCCACGTAGTTGATTGGTCCAGGAAATCAGCTCAAGTATCAGCACTACTTGTCATTTAATTCAGTAATTTGTAAGTACTTTGGTTGACAATACAGCATTAATTCGTGTATGTGTAAATGAACGCAGAAAGAGACAGACTTACTGGAGGTAAGGAATTGTCAAAATCTTGTAGGGATGACTTCGAGTGCTTGCGATCAACACTTTCAACCGAAGAATTGTTCGCGTTCCCATCGCGATCGTCCTTTCCTGCAAAACTACCGTGAGGTGTGTCCCAATCCTGTCGCTTTGACACGTCGACGTCGTCATCGATTGTGGCCGAACGTCGATAGACTGTGCTTCGACTTCTTGCTAATTAGAAGAAACATAGGCTCCTACAGCTAGATAGACAAAGGATTTACCCACGCGGAATCGTGACACGGAAAAGGCACACTAGTCAACCTGAGAGCTCAAATCAATTGTCACTGGTCAACCTTTGTGCACTTCAGTGTCCCAAGTTAACCCAATGGCCATCGTTCACGTAAAGCCCATTCATTGTTTGATGTTGGTGCCATCTCAGTAATATGACCAGACCGAGACGTCAATTGTACTCGTATCAAAACCAACAGATCGCGAGATTAATTATCAAATTTTCGTGACTATATTCTACGCACCAAATTCACAAGATAGATTGAAACTGAATGTCAGCATCTTGAACCTGTATCTCTGCTCGGCCTGCTCCCAACCACAACCACCGACAAAAGCCTCCAAGCATGTGCCCAATTGGTCACTATTAGCTGATTTCGATTCTGTCACAATACAAATAAGTGAGAAATCATAGTTAGATGTTTACGTCGTCAAACTTGAGGTTCTGCCAATGTCATTCAGTCTTTCTAGGGGAACTATATAATGGCCACTAGGGCTTCGAAGTGACACCGGCATTTGAGAAAATTGTACAAATAGTTCCACTGATCCCGCCAAAGGAAATGAGAGGCTTTTAACAGAAACGCAACGCAATAAACCGCCACATAATGCCTGCTTCCGGTTGAGACCATATCGTTATCAATGTTCAATGCAGGTGGTCGGATCGACCAAATACCTATCTTGTTTAACGGTCCTTTGTACAGAGCATGTCTGGTGCATTAACCTATGTCCATTTTCAATCTCATTGGCTGTTTTGTAAGATAGCAAAATGGCGATAAACTAAGATCAGTCACACTCCGATAAAACGTCATAGATCTTAAACACACGGATATAAAATTTCTAATTTAAGACGCTAAAAATGGTCATTGGTTGCTGTGGTTTTTAGAAGCTTAAGTTGATTTACAGTCTCGACAATTCTACGTATTTGTTCGACAAAAAACAGTTATAAGTAAACAACATACACTGAATCATTGCTTGGTTTTTCCATTTAAGGATTTTGTATATGAGAACTACCCCGGATCCTGTGCCGATAAACAGATTCGATTGGTTGGTCAAAACGGCAGTAACTCTGTCCGGGTTTTCATCAGCATCTGCGTCTTGCTGGTTACAAAAAACAACAGCGAAATGTAGATTTAGTTCAGCAGTCACATAAGTGAATTAAAATTGTAATCACTTCACTTAGCGTCCACAATCTCCTTAAATTGTACTGCTTCACGCTTGAACAAATCTTTGGCGGCACTATAGCAACCCCATTACGCGGAGAAAGGGTGCAGGAAGCAGTACAATTACTAGCAGAGCCTCTTCCTCATTAGCGTTAGCTTGAGCAGCGGCAATGGCATGTTAGTAAAACAGGCTTCTTGATCTCCTTTTTTTTAGCTGGCAACCAAGAACCGCGGGGCAACATTATAGCGTTTGTAGGTATGAAGCACGGAGGTGTTGGTGTGTGTGCGTCTGTTGCCACATACGTAAATACATAGCTGCATAGAGATTCATATGGTCAATCCATGGAACCCACTAGACCTTCATGGGTGTTGCCCGGTAAAAAAAATCGGCAATATGCATTGGCTTTGTAGTCATTTTAATCCAATAAATAGTTTAACGTGGCAGAGCTGTGTTTGAATGAGCCATCATACTAAAAGCTTCTCATTTAAAGCACCCATTTACCATCGACACTCTGGTTTGTTCGTTGTGTGCCATTTTCGCATTTGTTTGCGTGTTTCACAATCGTTGCGTCCCCATTTGCTTTTCACGCAGTCCAATTCGGGGCTTGGTAAGAAGGTGATGTTTAAAGGGGCGTTGGAATAAAACTGAACACAATGTATCAGCGCGAGCACCTTTGAACACGGTGGAAAGTAAGCCAGCCGAAAAATATCGCCATGAAAAAAACGAAATAATGGTTCAACTAAACAAGTCTGTGCTTACAAACGCGGGAGCTCCCCATCCAAGACTTATTTTAAATCGATAAATGAATTAGAGACTGTCACAATGACGACGTTAATATCAAGAATAAAAAAAACCATATATTTGGCCACAAAGCAAATTTATAACACAAAGGGATTGTAGTGTGTAAATGCTAAAAGTTGCCTGCAAATGGAAGGTGAACTTCTACAGCTGAAACTCTAATTCCTACTACTTTCTTGTGGAGGAAGTTGTCTATATATATCTTGACGCTTTGGAGTGGAATAAAACGCATGCAAACTGAGCCATGAAAGTAAAGATGTAAGCAAATGTAGGTTAAGTAGTGTGATGCCCAATAAGTTAACCAGCAGCAGCGCAAAACTCACCCCGAGATTCCTTGAAGGAAGGTATTCCTGTACATTACAGCAAGAAATAGGCTGGAATGTGCTGGTTGACCAAAGGTCGAGCACAGTTTTTCCAGCTATTGAAATCCACACGCCGTTGGAACAGGGCGCCAAGCAGAGCACGCTGTCCAGAGGATCGTCCGACACGGTTATTTTGCTCACATGGTCGAACGTTCTGGAATGTTTCAACACGATTAGACTGATAGCGTATTTGTTGGTACAGGTATAGTAGTAAGGTTTGCTTACTTTACATTGAATACTTCGACCACACATCCGCAGGCACACCAAACCTGGTCTTCAACAATAGCTATCGAGGAGACGGCAATAAAGCCAAGGATTTGGCTATATTGATCTCTCGGGGCCATTTCGCATGTGAGGTCCTATAAGGCATTAGGCTGAAATGAGTCGTGATAGTTTTCACGGGTCCACTCCCAGTAGAGCCAAATGTGCGAAAATGGGCAACTGGAGGAATAAAGAACTGTCGTAGATTCAGGTATTACAAGACATGCCTGATTATGGGTGGCGTGAGTGGTTCCTGCGACGTCTTCTACACGAATCTAGCTGATTCAGCTAAATGTCCAATACCTTCAAACCAGGAGAAATAAGGAGTGACACGAGGATGGGACACATGGAATATTAACGAGGATCAGAGACGCAGAGGGGGGTGGGCATGCATAAGCAGAGTGGCTAATGAGAACTTGCACGGATGAGTCATGCTGACGTCAATTAATGGACAAGAATAATTAACCATACGTGCGCGTGGATAACAGGCCCAAGTGTGTACACTTTGGCCCAAAGCTAGCTTGGAGTAAAGGCGTTAAGCAACGTGTTGCATGCTATCGGTGGGTAATTGCAGAACGATCAGAGTCACTGGAAAATCCTGTGTTACAGTTTTAGTCAAAGACGTTAATATTAAGGGATATTCGTAAGCAGACTTGCCACAATTAGGCTAAGCGTTCCATTTGCCATTCCTACGAATGCGTGCTGCGTTCCATCGTCCCTTCGTCCAATGGCGATCGCAGTCACACAGCTCGGCATCTTCAATTCCCACGAATTCATTCTAAACTCAGGGCAGAACGGTGAAGGGTTTGTAGGAATGATACAACGTGACCCTTTTAGCGTTCTGTTGTTCCATCGACTTGGCTTTTTTTATATTGAGAACGATTTAAAATACAAATTACTGGGTGGACAAACTGCAAGCCAAGTTACTGCCTACTGAAAACGTATTAGTACAATATTGGAGGGTGCTTGGCTCACCTTTGTTCAACACTAAATGCGTAGATGTAACCTTCCGCGGAACCCAGTAAAAGACGCCGGTCGTCCATCCAGGCTGCACAAAGAATAGGCGCGTCAAACTGAAATACGGGCCCAATGATTTTGGATTAATAACATATGCTTTCGAATGACAGAGTTAAAAACGAACAACTTACTTTAAAATTCATGGGGTAAAATACGTCCTCGTCGGTGTTGCACAACTTCAGCCCACAGTGCTGCCCCTCTTCCTGGCACATCAGAAAACTTGGCGATGCTAAATGAGGAAAGAAAAAGTGCACAACAAATCCCATGGGAGTACAGAGCTAGACCTGGACACCTGTGGGCAACATTGGAAGCTCGAACAGTATTGCACTTTTTTCCAGTTTGTGAATAGACCTTTGTGGTGTAGTAAAATTCCACCCAGTCCACGTCCATCCAAAAGTCGTGTGTGGCATCACAATATCCATATAGTCAAATACAATGGCGCATGTGGTCCATAGGGTAACCACAACGAAAGTTGTGATCGTGATAGGTGTTGGCAATGTTGTAGAAAGCCGAATCATATTTTACAAGATGCTATCTAACATGGAGTTGAATTAGCGAACAGGTAAGAAAACACAGCATGTTTCAATGTGGACGGTAGTTTTGAAAGTCAGAAAATCGCAATGGCTGTTTAGTCTACAAACTACTAAGTAAAAACTAGATTTTTAAGAGGTTTTAATCAACAAGGCAGAAATATGCTTTTTTCTGGGTTTAAATTCGGGAATAAATGTCGCTGTTTGCAAACACTTTTGTTCACAGTTTGGAATAATTGGGAATGCCCGATTTAACGGCTATCCCACACTTTTCTGGTTCTTGACCGATTCCAGTAAATATGGAATTCATATTTTCGGAACAAAAACAGTGAAATCACTCCATTTCAAGCGAATCCTCATCTTAAACCGACTTAACTTTATTGTTAATTCAAACGTTCGCATAAATGGGCATTGTGGCGAGCGCCAAACGAACACACGTCAATCGTGGGCGAACGCAATTAGCAGGCGTGAGCGAACATAATTCAATTAGTTTACGTGAAGGCACTTCAGGTAATTGTGCTCGTTCAAGGATCGGTGTTGAGCCGATCCTATTACAGCTGACCTTTTACGTTGTACACACACACACACACACACACCACCGTTACTGCATCAATAAATAAATTGAGCTAAATTTTTGTTCTTCTTTCGGTCGGGCCTTCTCAGTGTATATCGCAGGCCCTGGCGTGGTTTCTTAACCGCACAGAGCACCCCAACAGCATTTTCTGATTCCTCCAGGCTTAAAGCATGTGTGTTTCTCCATCATGGCTTAAAAATTGAGGAGTGTGGCTTGGTTTTTTGGATTTATATTTTAATTTGGTAAAAAATCGGGATTCACGATTCCAATTCCATTGAGCTGCCAAGCGTGTGTCTGTTTGATTCATCTGAGTAAATAGCTAGTGCAAAAATACCAACTTACCTTCACCCAACGCAGAAACGCAGAAGAGTCGGGAGGGCTTCGGGGCACAGGCTTCCGCCACGATGTTATTTTTCTGATTTGGAACAAAAACAACTCACACGTGAGATTTCGCGTGGCTGCGTGTACTGTAACTCAGCGTGAGGTTCGTGGATTGGGAGAAACACGTGAGAATGCAATAAGCAATCGTTGATCAATGGACTTTCACTCCACTGGTAGCTACAATGGACCTTCATTGGGGGCAACATACACACACGAAGCCAGACTGAGGGTACTGGACGAAAGATACCTCAGCCGTCTGAATGACATTCACGCGACATCCTATATGCATGTCTGCATGTCCTACTATGCCACAGAAAACGCCGTCATTTTTGCTGAAGGTAGTCAGTATCAGATGGTCATTCAATTACAGATATTACAAAATCGAAAATAATATGCTACATACTGAATGATCTTCGAAATGCGCAGCGGCTAAAGTTTCCTGGATAACTCTAAGAGGTCATAGGAGTAAATAGGACCGTGAACAGAGAGGAATTAGGACCACACAACATAATGTAGCACCGCGATAGGATTTAAGTAAATATATAGGTCGTACCATGTTTGGACTAGAGTCGTTGAAGAGTGAGCTTTGACGAATCCGTTTTTCCAATTCTCGCCTCTGCCCCTCCTGGCGATACCTTAGCTCCTTTCGTTTGATCATTTTGAAACCACCGAAGGCGATCTAACGTGTTTGGCACAAAATACGAGTAAGCTAAGTGGCGTAACGTGATGTTATGTTGTCAATAGGATGGTTGAAAAAATGGAATTTTCAATTAAAACACCTATAGCACTTCCACAACCCATGATTAATTCCTAGAATATCCGCACTTCCCGTGACTCTCATATTGACCATTACTATAATTTTAAAATTTTTCTTAATTTGACTTAACACAGGTCAACGAAGCTACGGAGGGTAGCGGATACTGAACTAACCCTTACAATCGAATAGCAGTAGCGTCTGTTAATGATTGGTTATTGAAACGTAGTTGGCGAAAACGGGAAATCTTACTTTTAAAAGCTCATCAAAGTCGTAGGCTAGACTCGCTGTGGTCTTCATACTCTTCCAGAAAGCCAAAGTGTCTGTTTGTCTCAAAAGCACCTTCTGATGTCGAATGAGAAGGGCAATTGATATTCGGAAGAGAACTTTTACACCTTCCAGAAGGAACACGTCCCATATTCGAAGAAGCGTCTGTCACAAAAAATGTACAGTATTGAATTTAAAATTAGTGTGGTTTCTTTCAGCTAAGAGTACTGAAGTAAATCGCAAAAAAACCGTCTCACAAAGATGGATGCTTATCGACAACGGTAACTAAGTTAACGCCAGAAAAGTATTTCTCACAACCACGATGATGACTAGATAGGTATCCTGGTAAATTTAATGTCCACAGCACTGTGGAAGATGAGGGAGCGTGAACAGAGCCTAAGGAACAATTTATAGATTCACAAATTACACAAATTTACTGAAAATAAATGAAGGGACAACCGCACAGAGGTCACCGGTGAAATGAGTTGATTTAACACGAAGGCCTGTCTTTCCATATTTGGCTTTGGGCCATTGTTAAAACGAGCAGTTGGTCCATGACTTATAGTACCCACTAGCTGCGATTTTTCACCCATGCCGATTTAAAGTGTGCCTTAAAACCCATAACTAAAAGTATTCCGGAAGTACAGGGCACCATTAATTTGGAACGCAATTGTTTAACTTTGATGTCAATCTCTAGCACATGTACACTGGGGCTGGTCACTTGGAACCGAAATGTGGCAACCTAGTTGTCCATTCTACTTCGATTTTGAAGTGAAAAGAAGCACATTAAAGCAATGCCGGTGGTTTACGGGTTAGACCGTAGATTAAATAGACTTACGTCTAACGTTAGAGCCCAGCAATAAGCACGGCATTTTCGACACAACGGTTTAAGGCGTTTCCGCAAACTGGCATCGTTGTAGCCTGTATTTGTGTCCAAACGTTTTACAAATTAAAATTAACACAAAAAACTCCAATAACGACAATGGATCAGATACATTAACTTTCGCCTAAATCGTGAAGTGCACACAGAGGCGTAAAAAATTGACTGAACAAAGTCCATCACATGGGAACATTCAGAACGCTGTAAGTTTTTTTAAAATTGAAATCCAATCAAATTTAAAACGACGCTGTTGAGCAAATCACCGAAGCGGATTTTTAGGAGATAGGCCAGGCAGTCAGTGAACTAGTTGCTGTGGCTAGTTGTCGTTAGCAAAGGGGACATTGCAACCAGACCAAACAAACTAGTTTAAACTCGTTGTTTCTTATTTAAATTAAAGCCACTCTGACATGTAAATGTTAACCTTAATTTAAAATAGTTGGCAATGGAAGATTACTTAGGTTTGCGTTTCCGTTGGATCTCAATTGTTTCAGGAAATCTGGTAGTGTTTGGAAAGAACTAGGTCGTGCTAAAGGCGCTTCACGAACCGTCTTCACCTTTTTGGAGTTCTGAAGAATAAAGTTAGCTTAAAATTTAATAATTCCGTAGTATTTAATCTACTTTTTTCCATAGGAAGGTAGAAGCGCTATGCTCGTAGTTATCTTTTTTTAAGTAACAACATTTTTTACTCGGATATTGATCATTTGATGGCGTGTTTGGAGGGTCTCATCATCAATGTCCTCAACTAGCCATCAACTCATATGACAAAAGGCGTAGGTAAAATATTCCTCGGAGTAAATCGAGCTCCTAGGTGACTGTGATAACGTCAAGTACTGATGGTCTTGTGGTTTTCCAAGGACATTATGCTGATGCAGTTGAAGCGAAAAACACAAACAACCAAGATGACTAATCAGAATTCGTATAATGGATGGCACCAATACTAAAAAAATTGTTCTTGTTATCCAAAATTGTCATGGTATGTAGAACCGACAAACAAACTACATGCGGTGACGGAGTCTCGAAGAAAAAGCCATGCAGGAAAAAAAGGGTACAAGGTGACTTTTAAAACAAGAAATGACAGTCAATGCAGGTTTCAATTTACGAAAAAGCCATGCACCTCGACAATCCGGGGCGGTCAGAGTTCATGCGGTGTAACAACATGCCACCCAGCCGTCCCGCCCAAAATTCGCGCGAATTAATCACTCGGTGGTGTGGCGCGCGCCAAGCTGGGACAAAGTGCGCGGCGGCCGCACGCCCAGAGACACGCCAACGTATAAAAGCCGGGGCGCAGCCCATCAGTCTCGCGCTTGCACACGAACACGCGCACGCACACACACGCAAACCGCTATGTCAACGTCCATACTTGTGCTCCTCCTTCTCATCAGTACCACGTGGACCGCCAGTGTCGAATATGACGATGTCGACGTCGACTACGACGATGACGACAACGACGACGACGACGATGATGATGACGACGATGACGATGATATCGGACTGAGTCTCGAGTAAGGCGACAGTTTTGTGACTAACATCTTACCTATCTATCTATCTATCATATCTGAAAATTGTTTTATGAATGAACTCATTCGCATAAGTTATCGTGTCACAGACTGTTTTACCAATGACACGTATCCAGGTTTGGATAAGGCACCAAATGTAACAGTTTTACTTCTAATTTACCCACGTTTTATAAAAAAAAGCACTAGAAAGACGCTGGGCACCCAGTTAGTATTCATATTTGTGCAAACCTGGTTAAATAACTTTACGAATTAACAGAAATTCATTGTCTTTGGAAAGGTGCTAGTGTTATATGATACCGTAACAGACTATCTTTCCTCTTTTAAATATTGAGCATTCCGATCGAATCTGATTAAATGTCAATGCTATATCACAGTAAAATATTCGATATCGTGAACACTAACTGTAAATATGTTGACTATATTAAAGTAAACATATACCCAATTAATATCGCGAAAAGAAATAAATAATTAAACACAATAAAATTAATGAAAATTAGGCATTATTAAGACTACAAAAAAATTCACAAAAATTAACAAACCGAGCAACAAAATATACAAAAATTCATGTTGTAGGCTAGAAGATGAAAAAGAAGATAAAGAAAACGAAGAACAAGGAAAGCATAAATACGAAGTCAGTCTTCTACGATTCGACAACAAGAGAGAGGACAAAAAGGCCAATACAACAAGTGAAATGCCGCATGCCAGCGATCGGGCTGAGACGGAGGTCACAGCCGACGAAAGAACCACTCCATGTTCCACCGAGGATGCTGCTTCCACGCATGAGGCCTCGCCCTCCACCACTACACCCAGTCCAGCTGAACA